GCCAAGGCTTCTGCGCTCTGCCGTTCTCAGAGACGGGAGGGCGTGGCTTTGCACTTCATTCGAAACCCATGTCCGGTATATGCGCGTAAAATGGCAATGTCCATTTGAAGGGAATAACCACCAGGTTCACGCGGAAGAAGTAAGCACCTCGCTCCCATCCGTAACACTGGCATCATGGAGGCAACGGAAGAATCCTAAAAGAGGTTATTCCAAAGAGTGGTACAATACAAAACGCCCTACATTAGAGCGGACTCGAACGCCTGGGCTCACGGGCTGCTTTGCTCGCTGTACTATCATAGCAGAACTTTTCTTTAAAGAGGAGCTCGCAAGGTGACAGTGGAAGTCATATGATAATAGAAGTCCCGTGTAGTTGCATCAGTGACATTCCGGTCATTGCTTATCAGTGCTCACTAATAGACTTAGACCTCTATCGCTCATTTTTAATCGTTCCCCGGTAGGAGAGACTAACATCTATATGCGAAAAGGGCGAAAGGGCTGTGCTCTGAATATAAAACAGAAAAGAACTCTTTCTAACCTGTATTCTTTATGGTCCTGACAAAACAGTGGCCTAAAGTTTCCAGCGCATGCTACCGCTGGCTTCCTCTTTTCAGCAATAGTAGTGCTACCGTTCCCAGCGCGCCTCCTTCCCCCCCCTCCACTTTGACGCTCACTTGACTGTGAACCCAGTTGACCGTACCAAACGAAAATTACTGGTTTTTCTTAAACATCATTTTCCTCATTACTTCAAAGCAGTGTTCAGACTCCGCGTCGACGTGCTACCATTGTAGCGCGCGCCGTGTCGAGGCGCCGCTGTTGCACCGCTTTTGTAAACCTTGTATAGAGTTTTAAGTTTTTAGGAAGTAGGAGTTTATCACACTTCGTGCGGCAGTGTTTTGAGCGAGGGTACCAGAGAAAGAGAGAGAGCTGTAGGAAAGCAACCTGCTCTTTTTCTGACCGCGCTGCAGACCTTTCTTTCCATTTAGTGACGTACAATTGTACAGCCACACTGCCATGTCATTTTCCCGTAATTTCCCGAAATTCTTGCCAGCGACGTCGATCGATATCCGTCTATAAGTGCGCTTCCGTGTTCAGCATCCCTGCGCGATTACAGTGGAAGCGCGTGGACGCGAACTCTGAACGCTGCCTAAGCTGTTGGGGTGTACGTTACCCATTTTGTTCCATGAAAGGGGTGATGGAGTATATTCTGTGGGATCCGCTAATGATGAACATTGGGTGTAACTGAAACGCCAAATGCTAAACCATTGGTGACAGAACCTTTCAATATGTTGAGGTTGGTGTTTCGACGTTGTTTGTTATGTTTAATAAATGTACGGCAGTCGATCGCCCGCCCGCCTTCGCAACTGAGGCCGTCGGATCGCAGCGCCATTCGACCCAGAAAAACTTTTTTTGCAATTCCAGAACATTACCGTTTCACGTTCGGTATATACCCTCTGGTGGACGGTTGTGAAATTTTCGTAAAGGCAAGTAGTGGGAATTCGTAGCTGATGCTTAGTGATAAACGAGTATGGGTGTATTTGGATTGTTGTAGAATAAATAACAGGTAAATAAGTAAATAAACAAATAAATAAATACAAATAAGTTATAAATTTTCGATTTCGACCTCATGTTCACTACTATTCTCATTTGTCTTGAGACGAAATTATGAACTTTTGTGTCTCTCCTTACTTTATCTGGCTTCCCGCTGTCGCCCTTCAAGCATATTACCATCCTTCGGGTTGCTCAGGATGCGTTTTGAAAATTTTTATCCTTGGCACCGTTCACTTCTGCCTACGCCCCGCCCATTGTGGGCGGAGCCTAGGTTACCTTGTAGGTGTTCTGTAAATGTTGTCCCATGCCACAACCATCCCAAGCTTGATCCGTTCCCAAAAGTGATTTTCCACATAGTCCCCAATTTTCGGGTGGTCACGCAAACATACAAACACACACCACACACACACAACTTCTGCTTTCTATAGAGAGGATAGGGCAGCGTTCAGACTTCGCGATGACTCGCGTAACGCGCGTCGCCGCGCTACAATTGCAACGTGCTCCAACACTAACCAGTCGCGCAAACGACAATCGATCTCCATGGTGTAGTGTGTGAGAGAGTATACGATGACAGTAGTGTAGGCACTGCGTTCACACAATCTGCTACCCCTGTTCTTCCACACTCTCCCAAAGCCCTAGCGGGCAGTGCCGATCGATTGCCGTCTCGTGTCGCGTTCGCTTCTGTAGTATTGGGACGCTGTTGTAGCGTGTCGACGCGCGTCACCGCGAGGTCTGAACGCTCCCTAAGGCAAATAGACATGTTCTATCGGTATACGGCTTACACCATGGTCCCTGTTTATGTTGGACTCTTTTTGGAGAGCAAGGTGACCCGTCGTTAGCCGGGTTGTGCAAAAGCCGCATAACACGGCTATTAAACGTACCTCAAACTTGGGTAATTAACCGGGTTACGGTACGCCCGATTGTGTGCGTTCACGACGCGACATTTTTAACTTCACGCGCAATTTCGGGAGTACCGTGGATTTACTGCACGCAGCCGGACAATCCGAAATTGCGATCTTGCCGTTTCAAAATTTTGACCTTCTAGAGATTCAATCGTGACAAGTTTCTTTCTCTGCGGAGTGATATCGATCTCATAATAATGAACATGATAATGCAGGATAGCTGTCTGAGCTGCATGAACTACAGTACCTTTCAGAAAGTTTTTTGATGCTGTTGTTTCCAACGTGCCTCATGCAGGAACCCCTGTGAGCTGCCTTGGATCGAACTTGTGAGTCCGCACTTGTCGTTTTTTTGATTATTTGATCGGAAATTGTTTCGAATTAGTCCAGGTGTTTTCAGTGTCTGTATAAACAGTTCTTCGCTCTGTTTTGCTCAGGTTCATTCAAAATTTCTGCATTTCCACATGAACGACCTAATCATGCGGAAAAAAGGGGACTAAAATCGTTCAGTATTCATATATTTGGCACTCACATAGTAAGGGTCGCACATCGGTTTGCACATTTGTTAGCCGGGCATTTTCGAAGTTGCTTCATTTTTCGTTTGTTTATAGGAGAACAACAAGAAAAGCGTCACGTGCAGTCTTGTTCGCTCGGATGCTGGGGCGTGTCAGGGAAGAAGGGAGGGAGCTGGTGGCGGAGCACCAACCTGTTTTCCACCAATCTGGAAGCCGGC